AGAAATACCACAGGAAATAGCAAACAAGAGGACTCCACTAGCAATAGTGAGGATATATTACCAAAAACAACTGGTGGGAGCTCCATTGTTGGTGCTAGGGAGGATAGGAATAAGACAGGGAAACATGCACCAACAGGGAATACAGTCACAGAAACCCAAGGCAAACGGAAACCAAGCCTGTGCACATACTATGCACTTGGTATCTGCAGACATGGGAAATCTGGAAAAACACGCGGGACGTGCATCTATGACCACCCTAGAAAATGCCGTGCCCATATGACAACAGGAAAATGTAAACTCCCTTCCTGTAAGCTTTTTCACCCCGAAATGTGTACCTCTTCAGTAGAGGAAAGACTGTGCTATAACTTAAATTGCCAGGCACACCATCTACAGGGGACAAAAAGATACAAAACATCCAGGCCATTGGAAAACCTGGGTAGCCACAGCCACTCAAGAGGGAGAGGTTTTTTTTAGTGCCAGGAAGGAAAAAAAACTGGCAGGAAATGGCAGAAATCGTACACCAAATCCAGTCATTCCTGGAGTGGAACCACAGTCGATGGCCTCCACTCCAAATCAACAGATACAGATACTAATGCCGGAAACCCCCCCCCCCCAGTACCACCAATACCACCAGTCCGATGACATTCTTCTTTGCAAATATACAGGGTCTAAAGCCAGCAACAAACAACAAAATACCTTTCATCCGTGGACTGCTTGCAGAGGCAAAGGCAATGTTCGCGGCTTTCACTGAGACCCACATAAAGGATCACTTGGACAACGAAATATGGATCCCAGGTTACAACCTATACAGATGTGAGAGAGTGAACAAGCAAAAAAAAGGGGGGGGGTTGGCCTGTACATTGCAGAGTCACTTGTTTGCACAGAACTGCTTAATGCCTCAAATGATGTAGTGGAAGTTTTAGCAGTAAAGATCGAGAACCAAAACCTAGTCATTGTGGTAGTCTACAAGCCTCCGGATGCAGCATCCCAGCAATTCCAGGAACAGCTGTCAAAAATTGACCACTGTCTGGAAAATCTTCCAGCTCCTGCACCCAGCATCTTGCTCCTGGGGAATTTCAACTTAAGGCACCTAAAATGGAGGAATATAGCAAATAATATTGTTGCAGTAATAACACCAGGAGGCAGCTCTGATGAAAACTCACACTCACACGAGCTTTTAAATCTCTGCACAAAATTCAATTTAAATCAGCAAATAATAGAGCCTACTAGACTGGAGAATACACTAGACCTCATCTTCACTAACAATGATGATCTGATAAGAAATGTCACCATATCAAAAACAATATACTCAGATCACAACATAATTGAGGTTCAGACATGTATGTGCGGAGCCCCAGACCGACATAATGAGATTAGTCACGAGGGAGCATTCATCAAATTCAACTTCAATAACAAAAACATAAAGTGGGACCAAGTAAACCAAGTCCTAACCGATATAAGCTGGGAAGATATACTAAGCAACACAGACCCCAACTTATGCCTAGAACAGATTAACTTGGTGGCACTCGATGTATGCACAAGGCTTATTCCTCTTAGAAAAAGGAGTAGATGTAAAATAGAAAGAGACAAGTGCTCCCTTTACAGGCGACGGAAAGGAATAACAGAGCGGCTAAAAGAGGTCAATATATCTGAAATGCGTAGGGAGATACTGGTCAGAGAAATAGCAAGCATCGAACTTAAGCTAAAGGAATCTTATAGGAGTCAGGAATCGTGGAAGAACTAAAAGCCATAAATGAAATCGAAAGAAACCCAAAGTATTTCTTCTCCTATGCCAAATCAAAGTCGAGAACAACGTCCAGTATTGGGCCCTTACTTAAACAAGATGGGTCCTACACAGATGACAGCAAGGAAATGAGTGAGCTACTCAAGTCCCAATATGACTCAGTTTTTAGCAAGCCGCTAACCAGACTGAGAGTCGAAGATCAAAATGAATTTTTTATGAGAGAGCCACAGAATTTGGTTAACACAAGCCTATCCGATGTTATCCTGACGCCAAATGACTTCGAACAGGCGATAAATGACATGCCCATGCACTCTGCCCAGGGCCAGACTCATGGAACTCTGTGTTCATCAAGAACTGCAAGAAGCCCCTATCACGAGCCTTTTCCATCCTATGGAGAGGAGCATGGACACTGGGGTCGTCCCACAGTTACTAAAAACAACAGACAGCCCCACTCCACAAAGGGGCAGTAAAGCAACAGCAAAGAACTACAGACCGATAGCACTAACATCCCATATCATAAAAATCTTTGAAAGGGTCCTAAGAAGCAAGATCACCACCCATCTAGAAACCCATCAGTTACAAAACCCAGGGCAACATGGGTTTAGAACAGGTCGCTCCTGTCTGTCTCAACTATTGGATCACTACGACAAGGTCCTAGATGCACTAGAAGACAAAAAGAATGCAGATGTAACATATACAGACTTTGCAAAAGACTTCGACAAGTGTGACCATGGCGTAATAGCGCACAAAATGCGTGCTAAAGGAATAACAGGAAAAGTCGGTTGATGGATCTATAATTTCCTCACTAACAGAACGCAGAGAGTAGTCGTCAACAGAGTAAAGTCCGAGGCAGCTACGGTGAAATGCTCTGTTCCACAAGGCACAGTACTCGCTCCCATCTTGTTCCTCATCCTCATATCCGACATAGACAAGGATGTCAGCCACAGCACCGTGTCTTCCTTTGCAGATGACACCCGAATCTGCATGACAGTGTCTTCCATTGCAGACACTGCAAGGCTCCAGGCGGACATCAACCAAATCTTTCAGTGGGCTGCAGAAAACAATATGAAGTTCAACGATGAGAAATTTCAAGTACTCCGATATGGTAAACATGAGGAAATTAAATCTTCATCAGAGTACAAAACAAATTCTGGCCACAAAATAGAGCGAAACACCAACGTCAAAGACCTGGGAGTGATCATGTCGGAGGATCTCACCTTCAAGGACCATAACATTGTATCAATCGCATCTGCTAGAAAAATGACAGAATGAATAATGAGAACCTTCAAAACTAGGGAGGCCAAGCCCATGATGACACTCTTCAGGTCACTTGTTCTATCTAGGCTGGAATATTGCTGCACACTAACAGCACCTTTCAAGGCAGGTGAAATTGCTGACCTAGAAAATGTACAGAGAACCTTCACGGCACGCATAACGGAGATAAAACACCTCAATTACTGGGAGCACTTGAGGTTCCTGAACCTGTATTCCCTGGAACGCAGTCGGGAGAGATACATGATTATATACACCTGGAAAATCCTAGAGGGACTAGTACCGAACTTGCACACGAAAATCACTCACTACGAAAGCAAAAGACTTGGCAGACGATGCAACATCCCCCCAATGAAAAGCAGGGGTGTCACTAGCACGTTAAGAGACCATACAATAAGTGTCAGGGGCCCGAGACTGTTCAACTGCCTCCCAGCATACATAAGGGGGATTACCAACAGACCCCTGGCAGTCTTCAAGCTGGCACTGGACAAGCACCTATATATATATATATATATATATATATATATATAATATATATATATATATATATATATAAAAATATAATATATATATAGGTAATTCAAATTATCTTTTCAAACATCAATATGTATTATGTGTCCAAACTGCTGTTTAAATTCGCAGAACATAATCAAAACATGTTTTAAACAAATATGGATGATGCAGCTTGACTCTGCGTCATCACTCTTAAGCAGTACACACATAACTAGTGAAGTGCAGTGTAGATAAGTTTCTGATTATTAAATACTTAGGATTGATTTTAGTTAAAGTTATAAAACCCTTGTTTAAAATGACCGAACAATAGAAGAGTATAAAACAGGAATACTAACGAGAGTTTAACCAACAATTGGAGGATGAGTTTGCTTTTACTGTTAAGGGTGAAAAGGATCTGTGCCTTATCTGTTATACAACATCAGACACTTTTAAACCACCTCATTGAGCTTCTTAAAACAGCTTTGATATCCTACCAGCCAGATTTTAAACTATTAAGTGCAAAAATGGAGACTCAATAAAGGTCTTCAACGAATACGACTACTATATAGCTGTAATTTTTATTATTTATTAATACAGTTTTAAAATATTTTCTGTGGCTTTTGAACATTCAAAAATGTGTGAAAGTATTATATGTGGGTCTTCTTATCGTAAATCTTGCCCACCCCTGCTCTGTACCTTATATCCCTACACGTAAGAACATAAGAATGAAGGAACACTGAAGGAGGCCTACTGGGCCATGCCAGACAGGTCTTTCTCAAATCCCACCACTCCCATCCACATCCATCGCGCCAGAGAATTTTAGGAGGTACATAGGCTTGGTTGGACAATCTACATAAACGGAGATGAGAAAACAAATGGTGACATAAGTACGTTTGCCAATGTTAGCAAAAGAAGTGGTCAAATAATTTCTGATGAGGACACACACAAGCTACAGGATGACCTGGATAAGTTGTTGTGATCGGAGAAGTGGCAGATGCAGTTCATTGCAGACAAGTGTAAGGTTCTGATCCTAGGACAATGAAAAGAACTAAGACAAGTTATAAGATAAATAATATAGATCTTAGTCCAAGTGAAAGTGATAATGTTCTAGTTCTGATCTTGATTCCATGTATTAGAAATATTTCTTACGAAGATAGGCCGAAGGTTTAATATTAAACGTACATTCTTTGGAATTCGATGTGTATATACATCGAGAGGTGTACATGCATAATATATATATATATATATATATATATATATATATATATATATATATATATATATAATATATATATATAATATATATATATACATACATACACACACACACACACACTATATATATATATAATATATATATATATATATAATATATATATATATATATATATATATTATATATATATATATATATATATATATATATATATATTGCTTTAGGCTTTCAAGTATTTTTTGACGTTAGTGCAGAAGGTGATGTGTATGAGTAATGATGTGAGTCAACATGTCTTAGCTGTAACAAAGTGAGAAGTATGAAGATAGTGAGTGTGGTGGACCTGCCTGCCTGGGCCAGCCTGGGCTCACCTCTTACCAAAACACAGTCGCTAAATTCTTCACATACCATTAATCATTTATCAAGATTCTTTGCATATAAATGACGCTGGAGTAGACATTTATACAGTGAATGACTTGTCCTTCATCACTGTCTCTATTTTCACACCAGTAAAAACGAAGAAACAATAGACGCGAAATTATGCCCCATTAATTTAGCAAGTCTTGCCTATAGATTTCAATATGGCGTCGTTTGTAAACTGTTGACACAATGTCGCCGTGAGAAGAGAGACATTTCTAATTTATACTAAATGAGGCGCTGTGTTTGGTAACAGTAGGAAGTATTGACAGGTCAGTAGTGGTGTGGGTCATACCTCGGCTGTGCTATATACCTTAATAGTGTCTCCAGACGTCACTGGAGAAGCCAGCAAAGTGATTTCTTAAAGTGATCTCCCATATCAAAACAAGAAACAACATAGAGTCCAGGTTGAAAGTAATACCCTGTAACAGTGCCACGAGAGTTATTAAAAAATTAACAGGGGTGACGAGCACTACCTGAGTGAGCATTGAAATCCCCAGCAGCGGGAGTGTAGGTAATGTGTGTGAACCAGGTCAGCAGTGTTGGTGTCTAGTGACTCCTGACTCACTGCTTCTCACTGCCCCGCCACAAACATTAACTCGGAGTTTTTTCTCTAACAAAAAATAAAGCCGGAAAAGCCGTGTGTGTGGCGGGGGCTAGAAAGGTGGTGTGTGAAGCTGTGGTGTGTGTGTTTTAAGTGGTGAAGTCTCCGAGGGGGTCCTGCGAGGTGTGGTGAAGCCTCCAAAGGGTCCTGCAAGGTGTGGTGAAGCCTCCAGGGGGTCTTGCAAGGTGTGAAGCATCCAGGGGGTCCTGCAAGGTGTGAAGCATCCAGGGGTTCCTGCAAGGTGTGGTGAAGCCTCCAGGGGGTCCTGCAAGGTGTGGTGAAGCATCCAGGGGGTCCTGCAAGGTGTGGTGAAGCCTCCAGGGGTTCCTGCAAGGTGTGGTGAAGCATCCAGGGGTTCCTGCAAGGTGTGGTGAAGCATCCAGGGGTTCCTGCAAGGTGTGAAGCCTCCAAAGGGTCCTGCAAGGTGTGGTGAAGCATCCAGGGGTTCCTGCAAGGTGTGGTGAAGCCTCCCGGGGTCCTGCAGGGTGTGTCTGAGTGATCAGTGCACTGGTGAATATATCTGGTGAAGGGCGCACACACCAAACTGGATAACACTATGGAAAATACTGAATTAGTGTATGATTGTCTTTCTGCTAGTGAATAATTGGCGCGGCAAAATTTAATTTTGTGTCGTATCAAGTATTGGTTGTGTTACATCATTATTCTGATAACAATAAAAATCGTAAAATTTTTAGAACGCTAAAGTTTTTTATTTTATTTTTTTTAAGTGTTTATTATACAAATAAATTATTACTACATTACAGCTGGATAAAATATTTTAATGCCAAGGTATGTTTATTCTTTTTTTTTTGTATGTATAGGAAAATTCACAAGTTACATATAGTGAGACCTGTATATGTGTACACATATACTTAGTGTTTATTCCTTTGTTTATGAATTAAGTATCTTTACCTGGTGTGTACAGGTTATAGGCAGCCTTAATGAAACTCGGGCGGTCGATAGGCTTTAAATTTAATGAACTAATCAACTGTACGGAAAGTTTAGATAACAGAGGCAGGCCCAACTCCCGATTATTCCCAGTCATGGATCTGTCAAGACTGTTTTAACATTAGTTTGTATTAACTTCATTAACTCTACTTGGCAGTTTGTTCCACTCATATTGTATTATGTACTTTATAAATCTTAAATTGTTTAACATAAATTCAGCGTCGCTTGTTCTCTCTTGTTTGTTATTTTTAGCACCTTATTTATATCCCCTTAATACATTCCTGTTTTGTATTTTTATGTATATCACATTTCCAACATTCCTGGTACAGTACCTAGATATTAATTTTGTCATGAATGGTTAGTCAGTTAGGTTTAAATATTATCCACCCCATGAGAGTCATTAGGCTGCATTTCGCAAGTTTGTAACGAATAAAGAATACTTTAATCCCCTCTCCCCCCAAAACAGGGATGTAAACCTAGGTTGTATGCGCTTGAAAAATATAAGCCTTTCGGTGTATATATACTTTCAGTTACCTTTGGCATTAATTTATGCATGGGCCTATTGGCCCATGTTAGACAGGTCTAGCTTACACCCAACCATACCCTATATACTGTATTTAAAGCTACTCAAAGTTTTCGCCCCAATGGCTCCACTCGAGGAGTTTGTTCCTCTCGTCTACAACTTTATTGCTAAACCAGCATTCCCCCATTTCCATTCTAAATATACATGTATATTTGTCCAACTTAATACATTGCTTGGTTAGATACTTTTAGAATGTTATTTATATTGCCTTTTTCCCGTTTTCCATTTTTACATTTTCATCAGTTTCCCCTTCCCCTTTAAATCCTAAATCATATTCGTTTTTGGTCATTATCCTATTTCCATTGTTTTGTGAGAGTATAGCTATATGGAAAAAATGCTAAAAATAAATTGCATGAAAAAAATCCAAATTATCCATTTTTTGCACTGTAGCAATACTGTCTTTTCAAAAATTAGCTATGGCAATAATGGTTTTATTACCGGTACGTCTTATTTGTCGCAAAGTACGTCAGTTGCTTTGATTGACTTAGGACTGTATAGGTTCCAATTTACGTTTATTCTTGTAGGATTAGGAAACTTGAAATGCTACTTTTCATGCAAAAAATTTTGAGCGACACATCCGATAATTTAATTGAATGGCTTCAAGCTTAATGTACTGTTGTGTTTTAGTACATTGGTTTCTATGACATAACGATTGCCTCTACAATTTACAAAAAAAAAAAAAAAAAATTAAAGGGGTAGACCGATAAGCCAGCAGAAGGCCTCGGTCAGATGACCAAAAGTTCCAGTGGTGGGTCATCATATGTCTAAGACCCGCGTCAAGAAACGTTTGTTCTGTTTCCTGACGAATTTTACCTGACCTAACCTAACCTGTACATTTTTATTTCAAAGCTGGTGTTGCTTAGTGGATGGTTTGAATTAGATTAAGTCAGTGAATGCCCTAGTTTACCATTTTAATTGCAATTTTTAATTACAATGTAATGACTTGCGAATGCCTCTTCTGATTTGCTTCAAAATCTACAAATATTTAACTTGGTACAAGCTTATGCTGCACTATCCCAGTTGCATGTGTTGATCCACAAGGGATTGGAGTTGTACAATACGGGATACCTCTCTCGGATCGCGCAGCGACCGATGTACATTGGATTTTGGTTGTGTGCCAAATAAAAAAGGACAATAGGCACAAAGAAAAGCTATGAATAATCGAAGCTATTCGCCAAATGGCCTTTAGTGACAACGTTATATAATCAAATCGTACAGATTACGAAGTAAACAAATTCGAGGTTTCACTGCCCAAATATCTTTTTTTTTTTTTTTTTTTTTTTTTTTTTTTGTCTCAGTTGGCTAGGGTAGCGAATACTGGGTTTAACCTTAATGGTGTGGCACTCCTTTTCCCATTCATTAAATGTTATGTATGTAATCCCTTTTTAAGTCGATGAATTTAGCCTTTCAAGTTTATGGTACTTTGTGTGGGCCTCCGTTTTGCCTGCAGTGAAACACGAGGAGGAAATTCGTAGGTATATACCAAGACAACAAACTTAAACTCAACGCTCACACGGCATTCAGCATGAAGTTATAAATAAAGACAATAGAACAGGTCAGCAAACAAAGGGGGACAGCAGAGGGCAGCAAGGGACTAGCTCCCTTAAGGTTTACTATACTAATAGCAGGAGTGTTAGAAATAAGATAGATGAGCTAAGATTAATTGCAAGTGCAGGAAACATAGATATTATTGCTATAACAGAGACCTGGCTCAATCTGAAAGATAGAGAGATGCCCTCTGAATGTCACATACAAGGCTATAAATTATTCCACACTGACAGGGTCAACAGGAAAGGTGGTGGAGTAGCGATGTATGTCAGAGACAATTTAAATTGTTGTGTTAGACAAGATATTAAATTAGAAGCGTCAGCCACTGAATCTGTTTGGTTACAGCTTCTCGAGGGCCGAGAAAAACTAATTTTGGGTGTGATTTACAGGGCCCCAAATCTTGATAGGGAGTGCAGTAAACTTCTATGGGACGAAATTCGTAAGGCATCTACATACGAAAATGTTGTGCTAATGGGAGATTTCAACTATAGACAGATTGACTGGAGCAATTTGACAGGAAATTTAGAGTCGGGTGACTTTCTTGATACGATCCAGGATTGTTTTTTAAAACAGTTTGTGACAGAGCCAACTAGGGGAAATAACCTCCTTGACTTGGTTCTTGCCAGTAGGGAAACACTAATTAAAATCTTGAGGTTAATGATGAGCTTGGGGAGAGTGATCACAAATCACTCAGTTTTAACATATCATGGAATTCCCCTAATAATGGCAATCAAGTCTCCGTCCCTGACTTTCGCTTGGCTGATTTCATAGGACTGAAAAATTACTTAGGTGGGCTGAACTGGAATGACCTGACTAGGGGTCAGGTAGGTGGTGATGGTTGCCGATATGATGCTTTCCAGGGCATAGTTCTAGCTGCTCAGTCAAATTATGTTCCAAATAGGGAAATCAGATCAAACAAAAATGATCCTAAATGGATGAACAATAGATTAAAATATCTGATTGGTCAAAAGAGAGGCATATATAGGCAAATCAAAAGAGGAGAGGGGCAATTAAGAAATCGATATATTCAGTTAAAGAGAGAAATAAAAAAGGGAATTAGAAAAGCAAATAGAGATATGAGGTTAAAGTTGCAAGAGAATCGAAGACTAACCCAAAAGGATTCTTTCAGGTATACAGAAGTAAGATCAGGGACAAGATAGGCCCACTCAAAAGTTCCTCGGGTCAGCTCACTGACAGTGATAAGGAAATGTGTAGAATTTTTAACACATACTTCCTCTCAGTTTTTACACAGGAGGATACCAGCGATATTCCAGTAATGATAAATTATGTAGAACAGGACGATAATAAACTGTGCACTATTAGGGTCACAAGTGACATGGTCCTTAGGCAAATAGATAAATTAAAACCTAACAAATCCCCAGGCCCTGATGAACTGTATGCAAGGGTTCTAAAGGAATGTAAAGAGGAGCTTAGCACACCTTTGGCTAATCTTTTCAACATATCACTACAAACTGGCATGGTGCCAGATAAGTGGAAAATGGCAAATGTGATACCTATTTTCAAAACAGGTGACAGGTCCTTAGCTTCGAACTATAGACCAATAAGCCTAACCTCCATAGTGGGAAAATTTATGGAATCAATAATTGCCGAGGCAGTTCGTAGCCACCTTGAAAAGCATAAATTAATCAACGAATCTCAGCATGGTTTTACAAAGGGGCGTTCCTGCCTTACGAATTTATTAACTTTTTTCACTAAGGTATTTGAGGAGGTAGATCATGGTAATGAATATGATATTGTGTATATGGACTTCAGTAGGCTTTTGACAGGGTCCCACATCAGAGACTATTGAGGAAATTAAAGCACATGGAATAGGAGGAGAAATTTTTTCCTGGATAGAGGCATGGTTGACAAATAGGCAGCAGAGAGTTTGCATAAATGGGGAGAAATCAGAGTGGGGAAGCGTCACGAGCGGTGTTCCACAGGGGTCAGTGTTGGGCCCCCTGCTGTTCACAATCTACATAAACGACATAGATGAGGGCATAAAGAGCGACATCGCAAGTTTGCCGATGACACCAAAATAGGCCGTCGAATTCATTCTGACGAGGACATTCGAGCACTCCAGGAAGATTTGAATAGACTGATGCAGTGGTCGGAGAAGTGGCAGATGCAGTTTAATATAGACAAATGCAAAGTTCTAAATGTTGGACAGGACAATAACCATGCCACATATAAACTAAATAATGTAGATCTTAATATTACGGATTGCGAAAAAGATTTAGGAGTTCTGGTTAGCAGTAATCTGAAACCAAGACAACAGTGCATAAGTGTTCGCAATAAAGCTAATAGAATCCTTGGCTTCATATCAAGAAGCATAAATAATAGGAGTCCTCAGGTTGTTCTTCAACTCTATACATCCTTGGTTAGGCCTCATTTAGATTATGCTGCACAGTTTTGGTCACCGTATTACAGAATGGATATAAATTCTCTGGAAAATGTACAAAGGAGGATGACAAAGATGATCCCATGTATCAGAAACCTTCCCTATGAGGTAGACTAAGGGCCCTGAAACTGCACTCTCTAGAAAGACGTAGAATTGGGGGGATATGATTGAGGTTATAAGTGGAAGACAGGAATAAATAAAGGGGATGTAAATAGTGTGCTGAAAATATCTAGCCTAGACAGGACTCGCAGCAATGGTTTTAAGTTGGAAAAATTCAGATTCAGGAGGATATAGGAAAGTACTGGTTTG